GGTGCCGAAAGCAAGCTAATTAGCATGGGTTAGCTAGGTCGACCAGGCATAGGGAACTACGCCTAACTCCCCGTAGGGATGTCCATCTGTAGAAGTATTCTACAAAGGTTGGGTTTGAGTCCCAACTCCCTAGTAAAGCAAAGTTGGGTTCAACTCCCGACCCCATACTAAGGCATGGTGAGGTGAGGGGTATAGGGACATCTATATTCCGTTGTCATGGGCTCTTGGTCAGGGAGGCTAATTTAGGCACACCGCTAAGTGGGGGGATGCCCCTGGAGACATGGTCAACAAGTTGTAGGATTAAAAAGAGATGTTTGATGTGGGCATCGAACTTCTTCTATGGGTGGTAGAGTTGTAAGGAACCAACTCCCTAAGGTGTTGTAGGATAAAGGATCCCCAAGAGCACAACTGAAATTATAAAGAGTTTATCAGATGGGATTGAGTCTGAAATCGAGTCTAAGACTGACTCTGAGACCGAGTTTGAGATAGAGTCTAGGATCGAGTCCGAGGCCGAATCCAAGTCTGAGTTAAGTGCTCAAGAGCAGTTCCACTCCCAAAAGGGAAACCGACTGTAGTGCTCCTGGCTCATGTGGAGTGGTGCCTCATTTGAGTACCTTGCAGCTCATTGGTCCTCACCCTTTCTAGGGGCTTGGGCCTTCCCTTCGGGATGGAAGTGGGGGGGTAGAGCCCATACTAGGCCATTAGGCCACGGTGTTTCCCCCCGGCATCCTAAAGTAAGTGTTGCACCCAAGGCTTAGGATTTAGAGGGTCTCATGATCAAGCTTTGTTGTACCAAGGGATGTTAAGAACCTGGAGGTTTGGTGTGCTTGGCTGCTTGTGCTTGCGGGGAGTGTAGCTGAACTTTAAATCTAATCTAACTCGGGGGAGGGGGAATGGGAGAGTTTTGCGAATCTGTAGATGGATGGCTAACGCTCCGTTGCTCATGCAGTGAGTAACTGAAACCAAGTAGGACCAAATAGGAGCTAGTACAATAGGTGGGAACCTTGGCGAGGGAACTTAGTAAAGGCCAAGGCGGTGTCAGTCGAATAGATGAGGTAAGCTGGCAAATTGAAAAGGAAAAATTTGTGGATTACATAACCATCATGAAAGATAATTAATCATCCAATCAATAAAGAGATGTATAATTATTGTCAAATAAATAATTACCATTCTAGAAAATGACAATCATTCAATATTAACAATAATCAAGTAAAACCTATGATAAGGGTAATCAACTATCTTAAATGATAATCAATCATTATCAATGATTGCTATATATTTGAACCCTATAGATCATCTCTCAAGTTGTTCTTTTTGGTACTTATAAGTACCTTTACTCCTTGGTTTCATGTTTAGGAGTTTGACTCTATTCCTTCATTTAGTGGTCCAAGACCCTAAAACTTGGGTTTCATTCCACTATCCTTGGATACATGGCATATAGCATGTGAAATGTGGCATATGGAGGGTTTATATTTTATTTCATAGTTATCCTATGGTAAATCACTATAGGATAAAAGGTGAAAACCATATATGCTACACTCTAGCATTCCAATGCTAAGATTAATATGTAAAACAAAGTCAAATAGAGTGTAGTTTTATTTTAGTATACGTGTGGCTTAATGCAAGGATATGGGTACTCCACAAGCTAGTATGGTATGGAATTTAGGTTTAGACCCAAGCTACATGCAGAACAAGGATAGACATACAAATAAGAGTTAGACTATGCCTTAAGTTAGTCAATTATGCCTAACTTACCCACTATCCATACCATATATTTAAAACCCCCCCTCTTCCCCCTTGAAGAATGCACTTTTTGGGCTTTCACCTCAATTCCAAAAGTTAGTCTCTAGGACAATCACAAAAAATTACTAAATATAAAATGGTGCTAGATTATAAATTTGGACTTAAGAATAACACCGTTGTGCTTTGGATAATCTCTACATTCCATAGATATGCTTAATTAATATATTTAGACACTTTCCATAAATCCATAAATACAATGGGACTAAATGAAATGAATATGAAGGGTGTTTAACAAATATAGTAAGCTATTATTTGACAATATTGAGGGACTAGTCTCAATACATGAGGATTCTTGTCAAGTTTATGTAAGACATAGCAAAAGAAAACTAAGAGCGAAGCTAAGTATGCTCAATAAGAAACATATAGAAGTTCCTATTTTATATTCTTCTAGCTAAGTACAGATGCTAAAACTATTTTACTAACACTTGAACAATAGGGGCTGAAAAAGGATTTAGTTATACCAACCTCTTGCCATTGTAGTAGTAAAGAAAGAATATCTAAAAGAACTTGCTGACTAGTAACTTTCGATGCTCACAGTCACATTTATGCTTTATTAGTAGGCATTGTGAATTTTTAGATTCAAAATGGGTTTATTATTGCATGAGTATGGCCTCAACATCAATGACCACATTGTATTTTATTCCCCAAACCTATGGCATATACATATTTGGAGTTTTCGACAAGATCCTATTCCTTTACAGATTGTGGAGGAACCAACACACTATAAATTGCATATAAAGTATCACTTGTAGAGGATCTTATGTGATGCAGTATTCATCACTATAGATGGTGTGATGAACACCCTTGATGCTATTGGTGGGTTCCATTTATTGGCACTAGCACCATAGGTGATGCTAGCACCCTCACACCATGGCCATTGGCTGCACAACAAGTAAGCCTTGATTGTGGCCTCTATGGCTGCTAGTTGTTACTGCAAGCATGCCATGGCAGAGGCCATAAGCATTGAGCCTATGGCTGCAGCCACAAGGAGGCTCTAGCCTCCATGCACAACCTTGAAAAAAAACTAAGAAACAAAATTGCACAACCATGACCTAGGAGGAGAAGAAAGCATTACCCACCTAACCCTAGTGCTCAAGCTTGTGCTTGAGCTTTGCTTCTCTACCTTCGTACCCTAGCAAATGAGGGTAGAAAAATCTAAGTGTTGCTTTTATATATTAGGGGAAAATCCAATAGTTGTGATCAAACTGATAAAATAATTTAAATTCAAATTGATTTAAGTATTAGCTATATAATGTTGTAAGCTCCTGAATTTAGACTTCACTTGGGAGGTCATCCAGCCCAATATTATTTAAACCCAAAAATGTTTAACCCCAAATATCCCAAGACCCTTAATCGATTGGAAAAAGGAATGCACTTTTATTCATGGGCCATTTCCCTCTATATTTAAACCCTTATGGATCGTCTTTCGAATCGTTCCCTTTAGTTGTTTACAATCCACCATACTTCCTTACAAATTCACACTCTCAATGAACGGAAGTTGAAAGCCACAACTCTCTTGAGAGCTTTGCTTTCTTGACACCCTACCCCTTGGGTCGAACCTAGTTAGAACAAACTAGATTTGCCAAATGTCAATCAACATGTGGTGCAATTCCTTTAGTCAACTAATAGGGTTGGACTCGAAACTTCTTTGATACTAAATATAAACTCTTGAATTTGGACTTCCCGGGAGGTCACTCAACCTAGTATTATTCAAACCCAAGTATACTTAAACCCAAATATCATAAAACCTTTAACCGATTGGAAAAGGGGGTGCATTCTTATTCATGAGCCCTTTTCTTTTATATTTGAACCCTTATGGATCGTCTCTTGAATCATTCTTTTTGGTTGCTTAAAATGCTATCAATATTAGATAAGAAATTGAATGGTATAAGGTTTTTTAAAGTTGGAGTAAAACTTAAATTAATTAGAATTAAGAATAACTATTTAATATAGCTTGCAGAAAGGTAAATATTAAGAAATTAAAATAACTAACAATATTGGTATTGTTTTAAATTATTTATATTAAAGAATTCATATTATTCAAATTTTTTATTGCATCTTCTACAAAGCATATTTTTGGAAACTGATTTGTGAATTAAATTATCTTTTAGTTTTGGATTGTTTTTATTTTTATTTTCCTTATTTTTAACACTATTATGGAACATATTTCTAGAAAAGAGTGATATGGGCTTCTAGAGATTATCAAGAGCTTTTGTATGATATATTAAATTCCTAAAATTGCAGAAGAGATATTGTTGGTACTGAGTTGGAAAAACATGCATCTATGGCAAAATGAAAATGCATGCTGGCAAAAAAAAAAATTTACCTATTTCTATGTGTATATCTTCTTTTTCATACTTTTTCCTGCCATATATAGGGTTTAGGGTTTAGGGTTGAGGTTTAAACCTACGCAACTATAAGAACTTGACTGAAATAAAGTCTATGGGAGCTAAGAGACCAGACCATTTTTGTTATGTTCCATCAGTTGGCATGTCCCCAATCTTATGGCCAAGTGCATGCATTGATTCCCTCACAAATTGTGGATAAAAGGAAACCCATTAAACCACGAGTAAGATCTAAGGAGTCTTCCCCAAGATCACATGCTTTCCTCTCTAGAAAGAACATTTAAAAGATGTTCAGCATTAAAGAATCAAAAACATTGGCCAGCATCGTGTACGAAAATATTCTTTGAATATCAATCGTTGTCCACAATGGATGTTGGTAATGTATATGCGCAGAGGCGCGGTCCGGGTCATGGTGTCGTACTTTCATTTGTCAACGTATTTTGACTGTTGTCGTCTTTCTTTTCCTTTACCTTTCATTCTCAAGAAGTGAAGCACCAGTGAGGCTTTTCGGTTAGGCTGTATCAGCAAGAGTGTGCTCGAGTTTTGGGGTTATGCCGAGGAGTTGTAAAACTTTCATGTATTTTTTTTCACTTTGGGCTTATCAAACGAGCATGGATGGATCCCTAGAAGAAGAAAGCCGAGAAAGCCAGGCTTAACGCCATCAACGAGACATGGATCGGCTCGAAAGGAGCAAGGAAATCCAGGAAACAAAAAGACGATCCTGATGAAGCCGGCAAGACGAATATGACCACAGACTACTAAATAGGTAGAGTAGAGCTTTATGTAAAAAGCTTGCTTGATATCACTAAGCGGTAGTGGTGGTCGATTTCATCAACTGGAGGGATAAAACCATGGAGCTGGGAAGATAAATCTTATAAATTGCAGATTCAAACGTTGGTTCAGTCTCACAGTCAGGATCAACCCCAAGACAATTGCTAGGCATTTCGATTAGTAAAGATCAACTTGGCTGGAGCCATAACCTCAAGTAAGAGAAAACTGTGTCATCAAACAGTTAGAATGGCCATAAGAGAGAAGAAATACAAGACTTACAAGATCTGGCAGAGGTTCTTGCCCATCACACCGCTTGAGTGTAAACATGTAGACTTTGGTCCTGTTCACTCCCACCACCTCCTCGTAGCTGACCACCTTGTAGTCTCCATCATACCGAAATTCTTTGTTGCCTATTCCTCTCCTCCTGATAACTCTCACTTTGTTCTTGATGCCAATGGAGTTGCGCAGCGCCCGATTTCCACGTGTGAGGCATTGATCACTGGCCTTCACCTTTGCGTTGAGAGCGTTGTCACCGCCCGATCCACAGTACTCGAGGACGTCGCCCATGTCCTTGTTGTCCCTGTACAACCCTGAAACCACAATACTTGTCGCAAATGACAGTCCCATCGGGTTCCTTTCCTTGCTCACGAAATCGATGCCGGCTCGCTGGTTCTTGTGCAGGCCAACAATCGCGAGCTGAGCTCGGCATGAGAAGGTGTCAAACAGTCGGACCCCGGAGACCTTGCCAATGTGGTCACCTTGGTTGATCGCTAGTCCCTGGCAAACAGTACCATTAATCAGTGACAAGTGCCTAAAAAGTGTAGAGCTTGCCTGGTTTAGCATTTCTCTCGCAGCTCTCAAAGACGAGTGCTGTCTGGTCATAATTTCATCGAACTGTTTGAGAGCGACAATTACTCGCTGCCGTGCTGATGCTTCCGGGTCCTGAGCTTGAGCTGGAATCCTGCTTGACAGGGATAGCGCCTCCCAGAAAGAGCTTGAGTTAAGTCGATGCTGCGAAGACCATATTGTTCCAACATTGACGCACAAAAGAAATTCCAGAACAAACCTGGTGTAAAGCTTTTGGGTGCTCGATGATTCTCAGGCGAGTTACCTGACCACAGCAGAGATTGATAAATAAAAATGGGGAAAAGACTGTCTACCTTTGAAGAAGAGGATTTCTTGCGAATCACCGTGGTCTTCTGAACCGCCGTGATCTTCTGAATCCCCGTGCTCTTCTGGTTGAGAAGAGAAACAAGATATTGGCAAGAGAAAAAACACAGCGCAAGCAAAAGAAAGCTACTCATAGGAAATCAAGGAAATCAAGGAAATCGATGCTTGCGTCGCGAAAGATGAAGGAAAGAGCTCGGAAAACACATACCTCTGCAACGGATGATCGCCGCTCCAGTCTTGCGCACCCGCTTCGGTCCATCGCTCACACAAGCAATAGCACCCCAAGCGAGGCTTGCCTTGCATCGTCTTTCTTGAATGCTTGCTGGGAGAGGAAGGGAGTAAAGAAAATCCGTGTAATTTCGAAATGACCGAAATATGATGTGGCAAGTATCGACTGGCTATACCATTATCTAGAATGTCATATTAGGGGATCTACAAATCAAGCATTCAATGCCTGTAGCAGCCATGAGATTCGCAAGATTTCATAGCTGATAAAATGAAATTTAGGGCTGTCTTCTCATTCATTAATTTAAGCAGTTAATTCTCTTTCTTGATTTCCAACTTCATAACCTATGTAGTAAAATTTGTTATATTATGCTTTTTTAAGCCACTAATTAAAATTGTTCCATATATTAATTACATGTTTATATCACCCAGAGGTATATGCAATTGCTATAATTTATCTCTCCCTCACTAAGAATTTGTACAATTCATGTGTTTAAAGTTGTTCCATATTTGTTAAGTAGATATCTCAAGATTCAAGATTGTGTAGAAACAAACCGAGCACTAAATTATATTAATGGTTTATGTTTAATATCCAACTAACTAGCTAAACTTAGCTTAAGTTTGCATGTACTAAAATGGTTACAAATAAAGAGAGGTTTTATAGTATCTCACAAATGAGGATTTATTAATCTTCAAGAATTCAGCTATTGACACAAGAAATATTATAGTGTTTAAACTCAAACTTTTCTATACATATAAAGTAAACTTAGTTTACTTTGCCTATTCTAGATTTTTAAGATTCAGAGTAATATTCATGACTAAGAGTCCTGACAATGCCTCCTCATTTATGAACAAGGAAGAAGCCAAAACAATACTGAAAACAAGTTGAACAAAGTTGGAGTCTAGTGGGTTGTGGAATTTGAAAGAACATTATGATCATGCATATAATTGAGTAATAGTACATTTAAGAGTTGGAGGTAACCATACTCAAATTATCATTGTAGCTCAAGTTGTGTATATCAATCCATTTCAAAAACTTATTTTGCAAAATTTTTCACCTCCCTCTATAAAGGTGTTAACTATTCACTATAAAATTGTTATAGAATGAACCCTTTCTAGTAATTAAGCTTTCTAGAGATTTCCATTGGAAAAAATAATTAAGTTCTAGTGATTAGCATAATCTGACCAAAAACGAAACAAATAGCATAAAAAAAGAGTATTTATCTGGAATGAAATGAATATCAAACCTTACATCTCTTCTTCAAAGTGTAATGGATATTTGTTATTTATTATTTTTCTTCTTAGTATCACCAAAAGTCAGAGAGCACAAATATCTATAAAAAAATAAAAATATATTTCTTATGAAAAATAATAAAATATAAAATTGTTAATAGTTAAAAAGACTTTAGCTGTTGAATGCTCAAGCTATAGCCTAATTTTCTTCTACTATCATACTTAAAACAAAGACATAAATTGAGATCAAATCTTTGGTTGAGAAGAAAGACAAAACTTAGTGTTGTGGTAACTTCATAGGATCCCAAAAAGAGGTAGAAGAAAATACTCAAATTTAAATAATATATAAGAAGGCTAGGGCAAACTTAACTTTAAATTTAAGATTCGAGAACAAATTTTCAACACAACATGGTTAGAAGTGCACATCCAACCACAACATATAGTGATGTTTTTACCTTGAGTGATCTCTCTACCTTGGGGGATGGGGGACCTTCCTGGTGCCAAGTTGGTGTGTGTCCTATTTTCTCTGTGCTTAGAGCTATGTAGGATAGAAGATGTTAGTTGAGGGTATTTACCATAGAGGAAAGAGAAACTATATATACACTATAAATAAATATTCTTGACTTGCAATATTGAACATCTAAATATAGGTAAAGTATATATATATAGGTAAATTTATCTTGTGAACTAGGTTTAAGTCTTACATAATGTCAACTTTGGTTAAGTATTTATAGGCTTATATCTATTAATCAGTTTTACTTTTTCTTCCTCTTTTTATCTTGTGCTTCAATTGTTTTTGCAAGTGCTTCACACTAATTTCCCTCATGAATACTACATCAATTATCCTATTCTTTGACTCTCTTAGTGCTTTATTAACCCAATTTATCTTAGTTGCAAAAACATTCTCATCTTAAGTTTTCCACAATTTTTTTTTCTTATTCATTGCTTTTGCTTTCCTTGCTTCACACCAATATTCTTATGCTCGCTCATACTCACCATAAAAAAGGGGACATGGGGGGGGGGGGGGGGCACGTAGGGGTTAAGGTATCCATCCTCAAAAGAATTTATAGCAAATTAGGTTTAGCAAAGAGAGAGAAATAAAAAGAAGTTTTGAGGATCCATCCTCACGTGTCATTGGAAAAAGCAGTCTTTATTTTAGGGAAAACATTAGTGTTGATTAAATTTAGGTATATTCTAAATGTGGTTAGTATTGAAGGTTACTTGTTAATAAGTCCTTTCAAATACTTTCTTTTTACTGCTATGATGGTAGAAGATTGGTATTGTTGGTTTCTTTTGTCAATTTCTACCTAAGTTAATTGAGAAATTGATCATTACATATGCATTTGATTAAAAAAGCATAAGAACATTCCTAAGTGTTATTAGTCATACATATTTAACCTGGTTAGAGAAATTTATTTATTAATTTGCACTTTAGAACACAATATTAAGCTTAGGGCTTTTTCACTCCTACCCTTATCTTTAGAGTTAATTTTTTTAAAAGGGAAATTCACTTTGCACAAAAACTTAAAAATATTTTTAAGAGATATTTTAAGGATAAATTTACTTCGCTATTAACCTTTCAGTTACCCTTAAATTCTAGAGAACCACATGCAAAGTTAAGTGACCCCAACGACTTTACTATTAGGTATTTCCCTTAGCTCATCTTCCCTTCTCTCAGAATGGCCAATGAGATACTAGAAGTATTGATAATCCTTGTAGCAGTTGATTGAGCACCTAAATTTACCACTACTAGAGTTTCTTTGGCAAAGCATTGCAAGTTGATCTAGGTCTCCAACAGCATATCAGAATAGTTGAGCTCTTGAGCTCTTGAGCTATCCCTTGATCCAGCATAGAGTGTGAGCTCTTGGACTCTTAATCTCTCTCTCTCTAACACTTTTAGTTGGTTTGCAGCATGAGCTCCTAATTTAGCCTTTCTCCCTTTTGTTAGATCTCTTGATCCCCCAGACACCAATGTCTTGATTCAGCACTCTTACAGAGGTATGAGCTCTTGGGCTCTTGATTTCTCCCTTGCTCTAATGCCAGAGCTATTGATCCAACCCCTATATCTCTCATTTAGCTTGCATCTCTTTCATTCCAACAGCATTTCTAACATTGTTGGCTCTTAATCAGCTTGATCTAGTGACTCTAGAGTGTCAGCATCTCAATATCTAGCTCCCATGATGTGTAGATGCAAATCAAAGCACTTTAATAAACCCTTAAGATTAATAAAAGGTTAATTTTTAAACTTAAATATATTGTGTGGATGTAAAACCCTTAAAATACTTAAATAAAATACTTAATGATTTTTAAGGTTAAATATATTGCATATAGGCTCTTAATCCCTTAATATTCACTATAAAATAGATTATTGTGTCTGCCATATACTCTCATTATCATTCCCCATATGTTAGTTCTATTTTAGTTGTATTAATTATGTATTAAAGTGTTAGTTA